TAAAGGGCAAAGTCAGGGACAAAAGTATAAGGAAAAAACCCATATATCGAGTGTGAGTTTTGTCACATCCCTGGACATAAACATGAAACCTGCTATAAGTTGAATAGATATCCACCTGACTATCAATTCACAAAGGGAAAGATGAATTCTAAGTCAAAAGCCTCAGCTTATCAAGTATAGAGCTCTGAGTCGTTAGATGCTGGGAAACCGGGTATTAGAAACACTAATACAACAATTGGTCTAATTCTGACTGCTGAACAATATAACCAAATCCTTCAATTGCTGGGAAAAGAGAATGCTTTCCCTCCAGCTGCAAATCTTGCAGGTAATACTATGGCCTTATTGTCCTATTTTGATAACAATAATTGGATAATTGATATTGGAGCAACTGATCACATGACTTTAAACAGTCTATCCTAAAATGTCCCACTGGCATAGAACCCTCTTCCAAATACCTTGTAGGTTTACCGAATGGAACAAAAACTTATGTTGAAAATGTAGGATTGGTTGTTGTTCTGGACAATAACCTTCATTTATCAAATGTCTTGCATGTCTCGGACTTTTATCACAATTTACTTTCTATTTCAAAACTTACTGTATCTAACAATTGTTTCATTACTTTCTATCTTGATTTTTGCCTCATTCAGGATCTTTGCAATGACAAGTTGAAGTGGATTGGTAAGCATAGTCAAGGTCTTTACTTTGATGATCCAAAATTGTCAATTTCATCCCTTATATTAGCTCTAGGAAAATTGAATAAAACTGCTTGTAATGTTTTACATTCATCACAAGTTGTATCTCCTTATTTGCAATTGAATAAAAGGCCTATTTTTCTTGTTTCACTTATGACTACATCTTTATCTCACAAATTTGCATTATGGCATCAAAGGTTAGGACATGTGTCTTATTCAACTTTGTCTCTTGTTCATCCTAGATTGTCTAAGTCCATTGCACACACTGACTTACTTTCTTTCCATTGTCCTATGTGTCCTCTACCTAAACCAACCAGGTTACCCTTTCCTCATAGCACCTCACATTCTAAGCATAATTTTGGTTTGTTACAAATGGATGTGTAGGGGCCATATTAAACACTTACTCATGGGAATGCCCGATACTTTCTCACAACAGTTGATGATCATTCTGGGGTCACTTGGTTGTTTCTCATGCAATTCAAGTCTGATACCTTTACCACCCTCAAACACTTTCTTCAAATGGTCCAAACACAATGCCACTTGGTTCCTAAATGTATTAGAAGTGATAATGGTTTAGAATTATTTAATAAGGATTGTCATGACCTTTTGGTTAGTAAGGGAATTATACATCAGAGTTCTTGTCCATATTCTCCTTAACAAAATGGCATTATTGAGAGAAAACATAGACGCATCCTAGAGGTTGCTAGGGCATTGAAAGTTCAGTCTCACATTCCCACTCATTTTTGGGGTTATTATGTTCAAACTATAGTCTACATTATTAATAGACTCCCAACACTTGTTCTCAAAGGTTTGTCTCCTTTTGAAGCATTTTTCTCAAAACCTCCTTCACTAGATCATTTAAGGGTTTTTGGATATTTGGCGTATGCATCAATCCTTCCTTCTAAGGACAAATTATCCCCTAGAGCTATTCCTACTGGTTTCTTAGGATATTCTCTTACACAAAAGGGCTATATTCTCTACAATTTATTCTCTCATATCATCCTGGTGATCTGAGATGCTGTGTTCTATGAAAACATCTTTCCTTTTGCTTTACCTAAATCTTCCCAAGCTCCTTTTTCCTCCTGTATCTGATTTCCTAGTTCTGGAGACAGATAAGTCCCCTTCTTCATACAAATTTTCCCCTATTGTCCAGACATCAGATCCTCCAACTCATGTTGTTCCCATTATATCTCCTTCACCTCTTTTTCTAGAGTTTGTTCCTACACCTTCAGGTCCGTCTTCTCTTGTTAATCCTCCTGTTTCTTCTATTCTTAGAAGGTCTAACTGATAGTCTCATCCTCCCATTTGGACTCATGATTTTATTTGTCCTACACTCCCTCAAAATTCTTCAACTTATCTTTCCAGATATCCCATTGCTGATTTTGTTTCTTATGATATTGTGTCACCCTCCTATAAGGCCTTTTTATCCAAACTATCCTTGGTTGAATCCACTAGCTTTTCCCAAACTTCTAAGGACCTGAATCGGATAACAGCCATGGATAAGGAAATCTAGGCCTTAGAGCATAACCGAACCTTGTCTTTAGTGCCCTTGCCTCCTAGTAAGGTCCCTATTGATTATAAATGGATTTATAAACTCAAATACAAGGTTGATGGTACATTGGAAAGGTACACGGCACGTTTGATTGCTAAGGGTTATACACAACATGCAGGTATTGATTATGCAGAGACTTTTTCTCTAATTGTGAAAATGGTCACAGTTAGGAGTATTTTGGCCTTGGCTTCCATGAATAATTGGCCCCTTTTCCAACTAGATGTTGATAATGCATTCTTGCAAGGTGATTTGTAAGAAGAGATTTATAAGACATTGCCCCAGGGCTAGACAAAGCAGAGGGGCAGAACTCTGTATGCTGGCTTCATAAGTCCCTATATGACTTAAAACAGTCTTGTAAAGCCTGGAATCACAAACTGACCACAACCCTTTTGGATGAAGGGTTCCAGCAGTCCAAGTCAGAGTATTCATTGTTTCTTAGAAGGGATCAATCTCATATTGTCATATTATTAGTCTATGTAGATGACATTGTGATAACTGGAGATAATCAAGCCATGATTGATCAAACTAAGGAGTTGCTCAAGTCCAAATTTAAATGAAAGACCTGGGAGTATTGAGATATTTCTTGGGCCTTGAAGTGGCTCGATCTTCTAAAGGAATCAGCCTATGTCAGAGAAAATATGCACTTGAATTAATCTTTGAATCTGGTTTGTCTGGCTCAAAGTCATCTGCACTCCCAATGGAGTCCAACTTGAAACTTACTTCGACAGCATATGACAGTCCTTCTGGTAGTTATCCTTTACTTGCTAACCCTTTTGTCTATCAAAGATTGGTAGGAGAGCTTTTATATTTGTGCATGACCAGGCCTGATCTTAGCTATTCAGTAAGCATATTAAGTCAATTCATGCACTAACCCAAGCAATCTCATATGACAGCAACTCTCAAGGTGGTAAAATATGTGAAATTAGCTCCAGATTTAGGCTTATTTTTCCCTGCTACCAACACTTTGAATCTATCAGCTTATAGTGACTCTAATTGGAGGTCTTGTTTGATGACTAGAAAATCCATTATTGAATTTTTTGTGTTCCTTGGTTCTTCATTGATTTCCTAGAAATCTAAACGTCAGGCCACCATTTCCAAGTCTTCTTCAGAGGCTGAATACAAGGCTATGGCATCTATGGTATGTGAAATCATTTGGATAGTTCAACTACTCAAAGAACTTTGTCTTTCTAGTTTGCTTCCTATTACTCTACATTGTGACAATCAAGCAGCCAACCACATTGCTTCCAACCCCATGTTCTATGAAAGGACCAAACACATTGACATTGACTCAGCTTAAGAAATGACTCATCAACACTGCTCACATCTCCTCATCTGAATAGCCAGGCAAGCATCTTCATTATCATCTATTGTATAAGTTGTGGGGGCTGGATCTTTACCACCCTCCAACTTGAGGGGGAGTATTGCAAAATATAAGGGTATATTAGTCAAAACAGGTTGTAAGTTATTTAGTTAATTAGTTGGTTAGTTCTTAGTTTTGATTAGCTGACTTTAGCTCAATGTAACTAGAGTTGCTAGCTACCTGTAGCTTGTATATAAGAGAATAGCTATTCAATAAAAAGTTAGTCAAAATTTTCCCAAAAATTCAGTTCACCTCTGTTTCTTTTTGCTTTGTCAACAATTTTTGAATACTTACATATGGAAACATCAGCTGATGCTATCAAGAATATCAAGTTAGTGTATAAGATAAAAGATTGGCAAGAACATATTCTAAATGACTTTTTAGTTTATATTATTTATTTTTTAACTCTTTTGTTAATCAAATTAATGGACATCAATTTAGGAGTTTATCTTCAAATGGACTAATTGGTGAAATACCTCCTTACATATCCAATCTTACAATGATACAACACCTATAAGTATAATCTTAGTCTCATTATGCTTCGGTGCTATCAACATATTTAAAGATGAAGTTAAATTTGATGCACTCCAAAAAGTGATCTAGTCTTATGTCAAGGACTTATCAAACATAGTTTGACTGGATCAGTGCCCGAGTTTCTGTCTCACCTGCCATTCTTGAAGGCCTTGTAAGTTGATATCTTGGGATAATTAAACTGAAATGGCATGTTTCTTGATATTAAAGCTAAGGACTAATTCACATTTCAGTATGACTTTTGCAGAAACTTAAGTGGAAATATGCTCACAGGTTCAGTACCAGTTGAACTTATTGAAAGATCACAAAAGGCTTCCATATCAGTAAGGCATTTTGTCCAAAACTCTTATGCCATATCAATAAATTTGTTCAATACTGTCACATCCCACCTCGTCAAGTTAACGAGTTAAGGAATTAAGTGATGTATTTTAGGTGAAAGACATTTCCATGAAACCTAAATATAATAATTTAATATTTGCCAGTATATGAACCCAAAATGAACTATATATCTAATTGGTTGGATCCAAAATTTGACAAATTCCCTTAGAATCTTTTGTTTCCAATAATAATCCTAGAAATAGAGTTATATTTTTTTTTATAGAAGTCATAGAGTGAGCCTCCATTTTCTACGAGTGCCTGCTTAAGTATTACAATCTAATCTCACAAACTCTCTCTCACAATCTCTACATGGCAGCTCCTAGTTTTTTGCTAATGAGTTTTGAATTTTGGGAAATTCATTAGCAAAAAACTGGGAGCTATCACCTGGGGGTTGTAAGATTAGGTTGTAAGTGTAGTATTGCCTTTATGTAATACCTGATCTAAATTCCCAACTCTCACATTTGTTCTCATTGGTGTTTAATTGAAGTGTGGAAGGCAATCCAAATCTTTGCGCATCAGTTTCATGCGGCAAGAAAAGGAAGAAGAAAAAAGTAGTTGTTCCAGTTGTAGCATCATTTGCTTCCTTGTTCACACTATTAGCTGGATTGGCTATTTTCTGGAGACTTAAAATGTAACGCCCCGCTTGAGGTACGTTGTTATCGTTTCCTCTTTCGCCCTTAATCGAGTTGGTTTTTGTTATTATTGTTGGATTGAATGTTATGTTGAATGTTGCCCTGAATTTTGGTTGAAAATAGAAGAATCTTAATGAACCAAGCTTCGCCGGGGCGAAGAAGATCTTCGCCGCGGCGAAGATGGGTTGAACCAAGGGTGAAACTCTCTGGACGGTTTCGCCGCGGCGACATAAGTTTCTTCGCCGCGGCGACGGGCCGATNGAGCGTCCACTCAATCTTGTAGGATATGTAAGTTCTCTAATCAAATTGTGTAATTTTCATAAAGGTATAAAAGCTAACCTCGAATATTTCTTGTGTTTCAGGCATGGCAGCTGTGGAATGAAGGTAAAGGCTTGGAGCTGATGGATCCAACAATGGATGAATCTTGCTCTCCTGAACAAGTACTGAGATGCCTTCACGTGGGCCTCTTTGCGTACAAGACTAGGCAATTGACAGACCCACAATGCCAGAAGTTTTTTCCATGCTCACAAATGAAACATTTCTTCTACCTGCGCCAAAACAACCAGCGTTTTATATAAATGATACTATTGAAGAGTCAGAAAATCATGGAAAAAAAGTAGAAGATTGTTCCATAAATACTGTAACAATCTCGGAAATGGAAGCTAGATAAACATACTACAAATTTAATTGGTTATTGAGACCACTATAGAGGTGAAAAGAAAATTGCTTTAACAATTTTCTACTCTTTAATTGTAAAATGGGTAATGGGAATGTATATAATCTACTAAGAACTATGTAAACCTCTGCTTTTACAGGCTATAAACTTGAGATGTTAAAAACTCTCTATCTTTTTATACTTTGACAAATTCATGGTGATTATTAAAACTGTTTCGTTATCATATGAAAATAATTTTCTACTCCAAAACTTAAAGGAGAAGGGAAAAAGGGAAAAAAATAAACAAATAAATGGGCCTGAAGACCTGCTTGGGCCGCTCTACTTCAGAATCAACCCAATAGCTTCAGTCTGTTTGGCTGTAGTGGACGAGAGACTTTGAATTCATTTATTAATTTAAATAAAAAATTCAATAATTATGGTGGTTCTCAGTTAATTAATTGAATAAATGCCTAGCTAAGTTAATTAATAGAATAATTGGAGTGGTACTCAGTTAATTCAATAATTAAGCTTGTAACTAAATGAACTAATATGCATCGAACTCAAAATGTATGATTGGAGTATTCACATAGTGGTTGTAAGCTACCCATAGTCCAGAGATGTTAAATCCACAAATATTTTATTGAATGAAAATTTTCAAGCCAAATTATTTGATTTTGGCCTTTCTCGAATATTTCCAATTGAAGGTGGAACTTATGTCTCAACCACAGTTGTTGGAACCCCTAGTTACCTTGACCTTGAGTAAGTACATTGTTATTGGATTAGCGTTAATTGGCATAGAAGAAATTTTTGTTCTTAAATCTTAATATATTGGAAATTAGCACAAAATGAATCCATGTATGCTTGCCCTGCAAGAATTTTATATCGGATAGGAGCAAATATACTATGGATCATCATTTCATCATCATGTATGCGTCTAGCTGATATTATCGGAAACTAGTCAAATTCGTTATACCTTTTGGAGACTAATAATCAATTATCTCAGAGTAGACACTTCAAATATTCTGCTAAAGTTATCAAAAATTTTTATAACCAGAAACTATCACCACACAGTAACTCTCATTCAATCAGCGTTCTCCATTATGGGCCCTTGAACGAAAATTCGTCGGTTTTTGCTGGGCCAATGGTGTTATAATTGGGCTAAGTTATAATCTAGACTATGGTTATGGATATTGGGCACAAGGGTTATTGCCATTTGCCACCAGAGTTTTTTATCCCATCAAACTGATATTTACCCCTATTGTTAATCCTCTTTTTCATATTTAAAAAAAAAAAAAAAAAGCTCTCTATAAATCCTGGTGATACCGAAAATAGCCCTCCTTAATTTGGTTTATTAGGGTTTTATTTGCACTTTTTTCCCCCAATTTCAAACTTAACTAGGTTTTTTAATTAACCACTTTTCCCAATTTCAAATTTGATAATTTTTTTTTTTTTGTTTTATACCCTTTTTTTTCCAATTTCAATTTGAAACTCTTTTTATAACTTACTAATATATTTTCGTCAAACAAAATTGTTTGAATAAAAACAATGTTTCAATGATTTAGAAAATTTAGATTTAGAGTTTGTAAGATAGTGATATAAATAAAAACTAAACAAATATATAAATAGAACAAGTGTAAAATCATTATGTCATTAAGGTTAAATTGTCAAAATAAAAATAAATTTAAAAATGGAATATACCGATCAATTTGATGGAGGCTAAAGATTACTTCCCTATTACAACTTCAAATGACCCCACTATATATTTCTCAACCCCGCCTCCCACCATAGGTATTGGGCTTAAGGTTATTATCACTTCAAATAATGCTTGTATGAAGCTCAAAAACTAATCCATGAAAGTCAATTGACAAGAGAAAGAACAAAACCCACATCATTCAGTTATAAGTTTATAATTCACATCACTCCACTAGTGTCATCCCTTTCTCGTTAGTATGACGTAGTTCGAACTCTATCTTGATATAATATTTGTATGTTGTCTATAGGGTGTTCAGAAAATACAAAAACCGAACCAATAAATTTTTGGTTAACCAAAAAATTGGTTCGGTTTACGTTCATAGAAATTGAAAAACCGCATTTTTAGTTCAGTTATCGATTTGGGAGAAACTGTAAACCAGTTAACCGAAACCGGTTTTACTAACCGATTGCAATATTAAATATATAAATTTTAAAAAAAAAATTCTTTTGATGAAATTATTGAATAACCGAGCAGGAACTTATCATCAAGTGGAATACCGGAAACATATCGTTTAGTATCAGATCTCACATCAATACAAATTCTGTAAGCATCACAGCCTAATATGAACTGATTTTTTCATCCATAGATATGGAACCAAATGAGCTTAATATTTCAATCACCATTTCAGGGGTTTATCAAACAATATTTTGACAGAAGAGTGCCGGATTTTCTATCAGACTACAGCACTTGCAGTCCTGTAAGTTCCTTGATCAGATGTGATGAAATAGCTATAACTGTGATAGAGAGCTTAGATTTATTTTAAAAGTCTTGGACGGTCTTAATATCGATTCAATTAACAGAACTCCCACTAAATCTCACTTCCAGGTGGACCCTACCACGTAAAATTTAGATTCTTGAAAAAAAAAAAAAAAAAAAAGAGTGGGCCAGCCTTTCCATCCGTGCAAACGCAATAGTTGTGGACCACATTGTGATGGTGGATCCCACCATTTTCACTGGGGTTTCGTGATGGACCCCTCTCAACACCACCACCTTATGGCTTTTTATTTATTTTATATAAATTTATTTTTCAAGTTTTTCCTCCTTTATGTGTGATGTGTGGTGGGGAACCATTTTTGTTAAAAATCTCTTTATTCCTAGTTAGTAACAAAGACTAATATGTATTGAACCGAAATGTAGGATTGGAGTATCTGCATATGTTGTAGCCACCCATGTCCACAAGATTTAATCCACAACATTTTGTTGAATGAAAATTTCAAGCCAAATTATCTTCTTTTGGCCTTTCCAGAATATTTCCAATTGAGGTGGAACTCATGTCTCAACCATAGTTGTTGGAACCTCTATTACCTTCACCTTGAGTAAGTACATTGTTATTGGATAAGCATTAATTGCTTGAAAGAAATTTTTGTTCTAATATATTGGAAATTAGCACAAAATGAATCCAGCATGCTGCCGCTGCATGTTATTATATTTGGATAAGTTGACTGAAAAGTGATGTGTATAACTTTGGAGTGGTTCTCTAGAGTTAATGACATACAAACCTGTGATTGAGAAATCCCAAGAAGACTCACATCAGCAATGGGTGAGTTTCATGCTTGCAAAGGCGGATTTAAAACACATAGTTGATCCAGACTACAGGTGACTTTGACATTAACTCTGTTCGAAAAGCTGTAAAATAGCATGGCTTGTATATCTCCAACTGCCACCAAAAGACCAACCATGACTAAGGTAGTGATTAGGGCTGTAAACGAACTGAACAGTTCGCGAACGTTTTGTTGTTCGTTCGATTACTGTTCGATAATGTTACGAACAGTTCGATATTCGTTCGATAATATGTTCGATCGGTTCGAACAGGGATTGTTCTTCGATTATGTTCGCGAACACTATACGTTCGACTGATCCATCCGTTTGCGATAATCGTTCGTTGTTCGTTCGTTTATGTTCGAAAAATATGTTATGCTTATTATAATTTTTTATTTTTTTTTTCATTTTTTATTATGTTGATTTATTTTTGGATGAATATTTTTAATGGTAATCAATAATAAATATTATGTACTTTTGTTTTTCTTATATATAATATGTTTGGATTTTTTTTTCCAAATGTCATCAATAATTAAATATATAATATATAACATTTTAATTAAAAAGAATAATAATCATGATACATAGCATGACAATTTAATCACATAGATTTATAATTATATGATTATAATAAAGTAATCTAATAACATAATAGCTTCATATTTTTCTAATGTATCAATAATTAAATATTAAGATATCATTTCAATTATAAATAAAATATATGTATGGTAATTGATAAACATAACATATTGTAATCAATGATGATGTATACAAATTTAATAATAAATAGCTTAATTAAACCTAAATTAATCCACACTTTGATTGATCATTTATTACAAAAAACCCTCATACCATTATGAATTTATAGTGTTGATACAAATATACATGTAGACAGTAATGATAATATATATTTATAACAAATTAATTACACATATGTATTGATCATCTATTACAATAACTTTCATTCCACTATAAATTATAGGTGTTGATACAAAATATATATGTAAATATTTAAAATATTATGATAATTTATGTAATGAATAAAAATATATGAATCTATAATTTTGGTAATTTCTAACATATTATATATTTAACATTGATTAATATATGTATGATAATATTTTGATATACACAATTACACATTATATATACAATTAATCAAACATATGTATTGATCATATATTATAATAGACCCTCATTGCACTATGAATTATGGGTGTTAATACAAATATATGTGTAAACATTTAAAACATTTACGATAATTTATGTAATGATAATAATTATGATAACCTATAATTGTTGATAATTTCTAACATATTAACATATTAATTTATGATTATATATGTATGTAATAATTTTGTACATACTATATAGTGGCATGTTCACTCCTTGGAATCCTTTGGTTGTGCTGTAATGTCTATGCAAAATGCAAATTCCTTTTATTGTGTATGTTTAATATGGAACTAAATTTGTTTTGAACGATTTATTGTTCTTTAATTTATTTGAAGTTTTATTATTTATGATGGTTATTTATTTTAATTTACTGAGTTTTCAAATGTTGAATTAAATGGGTATGAATTATAAATGTTGCATTTTGTTTTTAGAGCATGATTTGGAAAGTTGGTGTATATTTTTTTTCGAACAGGTATTCGAACGAGTTATTCGAACATGTATTTACAAGTTTACAACGAGTTATTCGAACAGGTATTTACAATTATCGAACGAGTTAGTCGAAAGTATTACGAGTTAGTCAACGGTTAGCGAACAGGTTAGTCGAACGAACACGAGCTTTTTGTTAATCGAACGAATACGAACGAGTTACAATGACACGAACGAGCTTTTTGTTAATCGACGAACACGAACACATGTTCTGTCGTTCGAACACGAACACGAACAATAAACTGCTCATCGAACGATTTTTGAACAGGCCTGTTCGTTCATGTTCGGTCGATTGCAGGCCTAGTAATGATAGAATTGAATGAGTGTTTGGCGGTGGAGATAGCTCGTAAGAAGGTGGACAATGAAATTGAACCAAAAGATTCTATTGAATCGTACAATCAGATCACCATGCTGAATCAATCTCACAACAGGTATTACTGCTTTCTCAATATATGTCCTTCTTTAGTACTATTTATGTATGGTGTGGCCCGATTAGACCTTCTTTTGGCTTCAGTTTTATATCTCGTGCTTTGAGGAGAAAGCAACATGGTTCTATTGCAGTTAATGTACAAATCCTTAATTGTATTATCATAGCAAATATACTATGGATCCTGTGTAAGTATGTCAAGAACATCATTTCATCATCAATGTAGATTAATTGGATTTGTAGTGGTGGAAATTAGAAACTCTAAGCTGATAATTATTGGAAACTAGTCAGAATTAGTTATACCCTTTTGAGAGACTAAATAACCAACCACCTCAGAGTTAGACAACTTCAAATATTCTGCTAAGTCTGAAAATTGAATACTGGATAGATGCAAAATTGTTCACACAATTTTCAGCTCCATTCACATCTGAAAGTTTTCTCTATTTATGGTTTATAGTTGCACTAAGTTGTGCAACCTGGACTAAGGTTCGGGTATTGGGTCAACGGTTATGAAGGATTATCAATTTGTCATCCCATCAAATTGATCTTTATCCTCTATTGATATATACATCTTTATTTTATTTAAAAAAAAAAAAAAAAAAACTCTGTATAGCCCTCCTTTATTAGGTTTTATTTGCACTTATTTCCCCCAATTTCAAACTTAATTAGGGTTTTATTAAACACTTTTCCCCCAATTTCAAATTTGATAAGGTCTTTTTTTTTTTTTTTTTTTTTTTTTTTTTGTAATCCCCATTTTTCCAATTTCAAATTTGAAAGTATTTTTTCTTTCCAATTCGGATCATCATGTATTGATTACTCTCTTCATACTTTACTAATATATTTCATAAAAAAATAATTATTGAATAAAAAAATGTTTCAATGATTTAGAAAATTTAGATTTAGGGTTTATGTAAGATCAAAGGTTAAAAACTAAAAACAATATAACCTAAAGACTAGTATAGAAACCATTATGTCATTAAGGTTAAATTTGTCAAAAATAAAAATCATTTAAAGATAGGATATACGGACCAATTTGATAGGGCTAAAAATTACTTTCTATTGCCCCAACCGCCCTCCTGCCATGGGTATCAATTTAATAACTCCATATTTCCATATTCAAGTATCAATTCTATTGTTATTCACTTTACTCTTTAATTAGGGTTTCTCCCGTTTACACTTATATTTTCCAGGTTTTATTAGCATAGATTATGAGATACCTGACAATTCTAGTCAAGAGAATTTTCCCTTCGTGGTGCTTTAATCGTCAAATTTGATATGTCTATCTCGCTCATGAAAGAATTCATTGAAATTACATTAACTGTATCTTGTACATATGGAAGAATTCTATGTGATCCTCTTAACTATATTGAACGAATGCCTCTTTAATGTGTTAGAATACAAATGAACCCTGGAACAACAATTCTACAACCTTAAGCTTCCCTGAAGGGTCCAGATAATTGTTACACCTACCACATTTAGTTATAAGTTTTGGGTTATTTATTTAGTAAAACGTTTTTGAGAAAAGTGAAATCTAAAACGCTTGTATCATCTCATAAATTACTCTTGTTTGACTTTCTCCACTGATTTAAGTGCTGGGGCTAACTTACAAATTTTGGTTTGCACTGTTTATATATGATGGAATTTAATGATTGATACTTGTGAGAATCTAAAACAGACTTTTGAAATCAAGACCTTCACAGTAGAAAATATCATTCTTTGAGAAATTTGTGATGGCGAGCCTGAGTATACCACGTATGAATATAATAGTTGCGTTAGAATCAATTAACAAGAGAAAAACAAACCCCATCACATTATTCGGAAGACAAAGTTTTTAGCTTTTTCTATTGACTTGAGCGTCAAAATTCTGTTTTTGCATGCATTTCACACATCAGCGGCCATTGTCATGCCTTCAGCTTTAGGACCAGTTATTTTTTCCGAGACAAATTCATTTAACTTGGAAAATTAATTACTTGATATATTTAATTTATATTCTACCATAGAGGCCTTTTCAAGAGACTTTCTCAGGGATCAGGTTGGCGTTTACTTTCTCTCTATTGGCTAATGTGCTTGTCCTAATTGTCCTTTTATAGATATTAACAATTGAATGTTAATTATGCAAGTGCCTCCGGAAATTCCACACGGTACTAAAATTTAATTTAAGTAGAATTATAAAATGAGTTGACTAGTTACTAGAAAAATTGACTGATATTGCTATTATATATTGTTCACGTTATGGTCTTTCGTATAACATCATAATACTGCATAGACTGGAAGAACCGAATTCCCATCATATTTCAATGTTTACCAAAAACTTATTAAATTATATATATATGTAAGTGCCTCCTGAAATTCCATCTACTACTAAATTTAATTAAGTAGAATAATATCATTATGACTTCCAGCTTTAGTAGTATTAGCATAGACTGTGGTCAGAAAATTCTGGCAAGTATCACATCTCTCGGAAAGCAGAAATTTGGCGTTTTTGTGTGTACCACATTACTCTGGCCCATGTCGTCCCTTTCACTGCATTACGAGGCAATTCCTACGGTTCTTTCCGCTGACAATTTCTTCCAAGAACAAGTGGTTGTAGAAAATTAATTAACTTCAATTTGGTGATATTGATAGTACTGACTTGGTGTCGGCCACCATTATATGATACATATCATATCATCATCTGTTGACTAAAATTATAATTAAATTAATTGTAGAAATTCAAGTTCTAAAATCCCTACTAAAAATCACCCTTTATAATGACAAAAGATGTTGAATAACCCAAGGGATTAGCCTATGATAAAAATGTTTGTTTTTTTGTGTTCAAACCACCTTTGGTCACCTGTTATAGTTGAGACTTATCTTCAAACATTGGGCTATAAGGTATTTAATATTGTCCCAATCCTCTAGTTTTTTAATATAATAAACTACCTCTTGGTGATGAGTGGTTTGATAGAAACTCTTAGTATATTATTCAAGAGGTCTTAAATTTAAGTCTCTTATTTGTTGATAATAGGGACACCATAGAGCTATCCTTCAATATTGGGTTTAATCACGATAAGCTTAGTCGTTGAATTTTCTTCTAACTAATAAACTTCATCACAGGAAATTTAGAAGAATTCTGGACAGCTTACATTCATTTGCTTACACATCTGAAAGAACAAGGGCTAATACAATAAGGATCTCCTCAGTGATGAAGCTCTGATGTGACGAAGTAGATTTTTCAGATGAAGAAAAATATTAACAACAATACCTTTTACTCTTTAGTTCAACGACTTGAATATTCCAGAAATCAGAAGAACTACAGAGTATTCTGCTAATGTGTGACTGCTACTTTACAAAATTTATTTAAACTCAAGTAGAAGTTTAGAAACAAACATGCTTAAAGATCTAGCATACTTGTATGTTAACGGGGATCCAGCTCAGTGATTGAAGCTTCTTCACTGAATATTGGACAGCATTGCTTTTTGATTGACCCGCACAGTAGATTCGATGTTCTGTCCCACAACGCTGTGCATAAAGAATGCAGGTTTTGACGGCACTGACACAGAGACAGATTGCTAGTTAGCATTAGAACACCTGAAGTCATGGTTGGTCTTCGCTTCATTTTCTTGAACACATAGCATACCAACATGAATACATCTCGAATTTCACTACTGGAATGACCCCTCAAAGTGTGATCTATCATATTTAGCGCTCCCTTCTTTCCATTTCTCCATGCCTACAAAAATGAACAATGCACATACAATGTTGTGCCTTTCTTTGATTTTTGAAATTTCATTGTCATCACTACCGATCTGAAGGAGAAGAAGATAAAATAGTTCAAGATTTTGCTTACATAGTTAGCAGGTCCTCCCCTCTTCTCCATTACAAAAACACTGTTCTTTTGGCACTAATGATTTCCAAGACTAACACACCAAAGCTAAAACATCAGACTTGACTGAGAAGTGTCCATACTTTACATATTCAGGGACATATATCCACTGAAAAGGGTCATAAGTTAGATTAGTTAGTTTTACTGAACCAAAAACTATCCATGATCATATGCAACTTATTTCTGGTTTTGCCACAATAGGAAGTGGTAAACATAAGAGATCTTGATATTTTCGGATATGAATAAAAATTTAGTTTTAATTAGCAAGCTCTAAGTATGTTCTTGTAATACTTACAGTTCCACAATTCTACTTGTATCGCCTCGAGTTTGATCCACTTCAATAACTTTGCCATCCAAAATCTGAAATTTTGGAATCATATTTGCATCTAAAAGAATGTTGCTAGCTTTTAAGTCGCGATGAATGATTTTTAATCTTGAATCTTCATGAAGGTAAAGAATTCCCGAGCTATGCCTCCTATGATCTTGTATCGTTTTTCCCAATCTAATAACATCGCTTGATTGGATCTAAGAATTCAACAACCAAAGCACTTCAACAGATTGCTAAATCTAATCAGGCACATTTGCTTTCTTATATCAACATATAGGCGCATACATCTAGCAATAAATTGCTACGATCACAGTGAATGCAAACAGTAATGCATTCATTTTGGAGAAAGAACCCAAAAGCAGTGAAAGCATACCAATATGAATTTATCTAGGCTTGAATTTGACACAACTCATATATAAAGAAGCCTTTCTTTATCTCCAAGCAGAAACCTCGAAGCCTAACTAGATTTCTATGATGAAGCTTGGCCACCAAGAGGACCTCATTTTGAAATCCAGATCTCCTTGTCCTGTATCTCTAGACAGCCTCTTCACAGCTATATCCTGTCCGTCAGAAGTCTTCCCTGAAATGATACTAAGATAAAAAATGGTAAATCCAAAACAATTTAATTGCATTCCGGGAACTCAAACTTTACAACTGGATGCATTTTGATCACCAAATGGTGCTCTTTGTACATCCTCGTTACCTGTAAACAGAACCAAATCCACCTTTCCCAAGCTTATTCCAAATGGAAAAGTTATCTGTTGCAACTTTGATAGTGCTGAAGTCGAATTGCAAGGATTCCACAGTCTCAATTTCATCACCACATCTTAAAAATAGTGTCAAGTTAGCATATAAATAAACACTACTAATAGATGTAAAATTATGATGGACCCTTTATTCCTGAAAAACATATTACGAAGGCAATGCTAGAGAGTGATTTCTCTGTTCAGTATTAATTCCTTTCTTCTGTTAATGCACTATTATTCAGAGTTATAGAAGCAGCCAGATTAAAACAAAATTCTAGTTTGAAATTTCACCCTTAAATTTATAACCCTTAACATTAAAAACAATGCATAAACACTAACCTTTTAGTTCTTGCTTTCTTCTTATCTCGCCCTTTGCCTTTCCTCCTCCTCTTTAAAAAGACATAAGTTAAGCAACTAGAGTGATGTATGATAATTATAGAGACAATAATAATTCCAACAGCTACTGCAATGCCTCCTTTGTCTGCAAAAATCAAAATGGCCTCTGAATATTTATAAAAGGGATACAAATCCAAGCGAAATACAAAATTCAATAATTAAGTTAATTTAGTTTATCAAGTTCGAACTTACTAGGTGGGGTATTAGTTATCTGTGGAGGAGAATTCTGGGTGATAGTGGAGGAGACGGAGATGGAGCTTCAGTGATTCATAAAGGATACAAATCCCAGCAAAATACAGCTAGGCCTCAGAACGTAACCCCTTGCTTCCCATGAAAGCTGCTCTCGAAGTAAGATACAGATTGACAAGGCAAAGAGTCGCAATTACTCCGGGATAATTCTGGAGTACACTGCATTAAGGCGTATATCTTCTGAAAGAAAGTCAAATTAGCTTCTTCAGTGGCAATTTGAGCTTAAAAGAACCCATAGAGGCTTTTGTAACCACACGATCCATTAAACTTTCCCAGGTCTGATCAAACTGTGTCAAATTCGTATTGATATATTCACATTATAGCCAGCATCGCTAGGATCCGTCTCCAGTAATCCAATAAAAGACCGGTCTCATAGCGTACGTGCATCGAGGACCTGCTGCCCATGAAAGGCTTCTTTTGGTTGGGACATTTGGTTATAAGATCATGGGTTTGTATTGACACAGCTGAAACAGTTTCTGAAGAAGAATCACCCCTGCAAAGTGCAAGAGCATAAAGTCGTTGGTGTCTTGGCCAATAGTAGCAGTATAAAAACCCCATTTGTTGATACATTAGATGCAAGATTTGAAAGGATAAGGTCGCGGTTCTTGCCATAAACTGTTAGTTGTGGTTTCCCGTTCGTAACATCTCTGGCCATTGGTAAGAGTGATGCCTATAACAGGTAAAGTAAGAAGACGAAGAGATTTGTAAAAGCCATGGCATGTTCAAGAATTCTCCTGTGTCTAATTTAATCTAAATGGATTAGTGAAGATAAACAAGTACAAGACTTTAATAACTCAGAGATGGTGATCCAAGCGCAGGAAACTCTGGCTTAAGAACATGCCTTGATTAAGAGACTTGACAACCAACCTACTTCGCGCCAGAAACAGTGGTGGACCGTAGACTTAATAAGAGGACTTTGACCGTGGACACGAATATAAAATGCGATTTTTTAAGACATAAATAATGTTGTATTTTTCCTTATATTAGCCATTTTATATTTTTTAATATGTTTATTACCCTTCATTTTTCTTACAAAGTTTAAAGTAATATACATATGAACATACCTAACAATTGCTGTAGAATCAATTAACTTGAGCGTCAAAAGTCTGTTTTTGCGTGTGTTTCACTTTGCATCTCAGCCAGTGGTTCCAATTTGTTCAAAGTATATTATTTTTCCGAAGACAAATTCATTGAACTCGTGGAAATGACAATATTCCATCATAGATACTATCCTTTGATCGGTTTTTCTGATAAACCGATTCAAAGAAAATTGTATCCAGCACTCTACAATTAAATTTCTTGAATCGGTTTTTCTAAAATCTCCTACTATAATTGGTATTATTTTCTATGGCCACTGCACTTTCGCGCGAATTCCCCCTATCGCCACCATTCGAACCTCCATCCTCCGCTCTTCTAAAACCCAAGCTCCTCTGGCTCCCTCCACTCATTGTTCACCGCATGTGACCTTCTGATGCCGCAAGTAAGTCGCGTTTTGCGACCCCTATCCTCTGCAAATCGTCGGATTTTTTCGGTGTTGATCTGTGGTTTGCTTTTTGAAGTGTATTGTGTGTAATTACCTGGCCGTCGGCGACTCTACATCATTTCCAACCTTGCCACAGCCAAGCTGCCCACCACCTGTTTGACAAAATTCCTCACTCAAAGCCACCACCAGCCACTACACCCTTTGAGATCATTTTCATTGTCATTTCAGATTTAACGCTGTGTAAATGACTACTCTACCTTTTACCATTGTTTTTATGTTAATTTAAGAGTGATAATATGAAATTTATGAAACCAGTGGGCCTTTGCCATTTCGTTAAAGTTGGGCGGGAGCATGTCGTTTACTATCAAACATATGATGTTACAGTTCTGAATAAGTGACCTGTGGACCTTTGGTTTGTATAAAGTTTGTGGGCTTTAAAACATTCACACCTTTTAAGGTTTAATGTAGGGCGTTAGGTTCAAAGGTTTAAATAAGTGATATCACAAGCCCAACTGTTATAATAAGTAATAACTAACCGTTGTTAAAACAAAAGAATTTACCTTTTTTGTATATATGATAGTACAATTGACCATGAGTAACAAAAAGCAATAACACTACGGACACCGAAAAAGTTACACCGAATTTCTGTACCGGCCTACGTGTAATGCGTATCTCAATTTTTTTACAATTTTTTTCTAGTGAACGGCCGTTCATCACATTTGGACGGCCGTTCACTCACATGGACGCCCGTCCATATTATATGGACGGGCGTCCATGTAAAAGGGACGGGCGTCCCCATTTAAAGGACGCCCGTCCCTTATTATAATACAATTAAAAAATTTGTAAAATCTTAGGGACGGCCGTCCATTCATTATGGACGACCGTCCATTAATTTTGGACGGGCGTCCACAAATAATGGACGCCCGTCCTTCACCCAAATATAAAAAAAAAAAAAAATTTCTTTGGGGACGGTCGTTCATAAATTTTGGACGGCCGTCCTTTCTGTTTGGACGGGCGTCCATTAAGAATGGACGGCTATGGACGGCCGTCCATTCTTAATGGACGCCCGTCCATACTTAAAAAAAAAAAAAATTCTAAACAGAAATAGTCTTCTTCTTCACTCTTCTTCTTCTCGTCATTCCCCATCTCCTCTCTTTTTCTTCGTCTTCATTCCCCATCTCCTCTCTTCTTCTTCGTCTTTGTTTTATAAGATAGGCGTGCTGTTTATAAGCTTTCAATCGGCATGGTCTATTTAAGAAACTGTTGCTGAAGAATTTGAATCAGGAGGTGAAACTTGCAGGTATTTGCTCTGAGAGATGCTGGGGACTTGGCTGAGAATATCTGCACACGACACAATTCCAGGGCATTCAGATTCAAGCTTGTTCTTGATCCTATCAATCAGTATAAAACCTTTAAGGCATTTTTATTGATAGAAGCTGTTTTCTCTCCTTGCAGGTCGATTGTGTCGTCAAGCAAAACTGACCCGTCGCATCCCTGTACCATTACATCAAAACGCTAACTAAGATCAACAAATGCAAAATCGAGAGGTTTGGACGATGAACAAAAGGTGCCATTATTGCTGCACGCACTTTGCTTTTTTTTTTCATGTCTGCCTCCTGAAATTCCACATACTACTAAAATTTAATTAAGTGAATATATCATTATGACTTCCAGGCTTTAGTATAGAGCATAGACTGTGGTCAAAAATTCTGGCAAGTATCAATCTCTCGCGGAAAGCAGAAAATTTGGCGTTTTTGTGTGTACCACATTACTCTGGCCCATGTCGTCCCTTTCATCTGCATTACGGGCAATTCCTACGGTTCTTTCCGCTGAATTTCTTCCAGAACAGTGGTTGTAGAAAATTAATTAACTTCATAAATTGGGTAATTGATAGTACTGACTTGGTGGTCGGCCACCATTTATGATACATATGCATATACATCATCTGTTGACTAAAATTATTAATTAAATTAATTTGTAGAAATTCAAGTTCTAAAATCCCTACTAAAAAATCACCCTTTATTAATGACAAAAAGATGTTGAATAACGCCAAGGGATTAGCCTAATGATAAAAATGTTTGTTTTTTTGTGTTCAAACCACCTTTGTTCACCTGTTATAGTTGAGACTTATCTTCAACATTAGCGTTTATAGTATTTAATATTGTCCCATACTCTAGTTTTTTTATATATATAAACTACCTCTTGTTGATTGAGTGGTTTGATAAAAACTCTTAAGTATTATTCAGAGGTCTTAAATTTAAGTCTCTTATTTGTTGATAATAGGGACAACCATTAGAGCTATCCTTCAATATGGGTTTAATCACGGATAAGCTAGTCGTTGAATTTTTCTTCTAACTAATAAGACTTCATCACAGATGTAAGAATTCTGGACAGCTTACATTCATTGCTTACCCATCTGAAGAACAAAGGGCTAATACAATAAGGATTCTCCTCAGTGATGAAGCTCTGATGACGAGAAGTATTTTTCAGATGAAGAAAAATAATTAACAACAATACCTTTTACTCTTTAGTTCAACGACTTGAATATTATTCCAGAAAATCAGAAGAACTACAGAGTATTCTGCTAATTGTTGACTGCTACTTTACAAAATTTATTTAAACTCAAAGTAGAAGTTTAGAGAACAACATGCTTAAAGATCTAGCATACTTGTATGTTAACGGGGATCCAGCTCAGTGATTGAAGCTTCATTCACTGAATATTGGACAGCATTGCTTTTTGATTGACCCGGCACAGTGACTTCGATTTATCCTGTTCCACAACGCTGTGCATAAAGAATGCAGGTTTTGACGGCACTGACCAGAGACAGAGTTGCAGTTAGCATTAGAACAACTGAAGTCATGGTTGGTCTATCAGCTTCATTTCTTGAACACATAGCAATCCAACATGAATACATCTCGTAATTTCACTACTGGAATGACCCCTCAAAGTGTGATCTATCATATTTAAAGCTGTCCCTCTTTCCAATTTCTCCATGCTACAAAAATGAACAATGCACATACAATGTTAGTGCCTTTCTTTGATTTTTGAATTCATTGTCATCACTTATCCTATCTAAGGAGAGAAGAAAAAAATAGTTCAAGATTTTGCTTACATAAGTTCCAGGTCCTCCCCCTCTTCTCCATTACAAAACTACTGTTCTTTCTTTGGCCACTAATGATTTCCAAGACTAACCACCAAAGCTAAAACATCAGACTTGACTGAGAATGTCCATACTTACATATTCAGGAGACATATATCCATGAAAAGGGTCATAAGTTAGAATTATTTAGTTTTACTGAAAACCAAAACTATCCTATCATATGCAACTTATTTCTGGTTTGCCACATATAGGAGTGTAAACATAAGAGATCTTGATATTTTCCGTGATATGAATAAAAAATTTAGTTTTAATTAGCAAGCTCTAAGTATGTCCTTGTATATATTACAAGGTTCCAACAATTCTACTTGTATCGCCTCGAGTTTGATCCACTTCAAATAACTTTGCCATTCCAAAATCTAAATTTTTGGAATCTATTTGCATCTAAAGAATGTTGCTAGCTTTTAAGTCGCGATGAATGATTTTTAATCTTGAACTTCATGAAGGTAAAGAATTCCTCGAGCTATCCTCCTATGATCTTGTATCGTTTTTCCCAATCTTAACAATCGCTGATTGGATCTAAGAATTCAACAAAACCAAAGCACTTCACAGATTGCATAAATCTAATCAGGCACATTTGCTTTCTATATGCAACATATATGCCATAAATCTAGCTAATATTGCTACGATCACAGTGATGCACACTGGTAATGCATTCATTTTGGGAAGAACCCAAAAGGCAGTGAAAGCAACCAAATATGAAGTTATCTAGGCTTGAATTTGACACACTCATATATGAAGCTTTCTTTATCTTCCAAGCAGAAACCTCGAAGCCTAACTAGATTTCTATGATGAAGCTTGGCCACCAAGAGGACCTCATTTTGAAATTCCAGATCTCCTTGCCTGTATCTCTAGACAGCCTCTTCACAGCTATATCCTGTCCGTCAAGAAGTCTTCCCTGAAATGATCTAAGATAA